CTCTGCAAAGGGCCTATTTTTTATTATTATCTTCTACCTTATGCAAGTGTCGTGGTGATCTTCACCTTTCCTTTTTACATTTTATCCTTTGGCAAGCACAGTGTGTTGGAAAAGATCCTAATAGATATATCTAATTGGATGTAGGGGGGCATGAGTTATTATTGTTGACATTACCCTCGAGGTAAAAGGTTGTGGGGCGAAACTATAAGCCCCTATCTTTCTCTGTGTCCGATTAAAACTCCGTAACCACAAGTATTGCGCGAGTGTTAGCAATTATGAAGGACTAGATGATAGTTGAGTATGTGGACTTGCTTTTTAGCTCTGACATAGACTCTTTCTGATGTTATGATAAATTGCAATTGCTTCAATGACTGAGGTTCTAGTTTGTTGGTTCTCAATAAGATTTCTGATTCATACTTTTGCATTGTGAATAGATCATAACTTGAACATAAGTAATCATATGACAATATTTATGTATGTTGCTGTTATGAGAATAATCATGATGCCCTCACGTCCGTATTTTATTTTTATCGACGCCTCTACCTCTAAACATGGATACATATTTATTGTTATCGGCTTTCGCTTGAGGACAAGCGAGGTCTAAGCTTGGGGGAGTTGATACATCCATGTTGCATCATGCTTTTATATCGATATTTATTGCATTATGGGCTGTTATTTCACATTATGTCACAATACTTATGGCTATTCTCTCTTATTTTACAAGGTTTACATAAGGAGGGAGAATGCCGGCAGCTGGAGTTCTGGGCTGGAAAAGGAACAAATATTAGAGACCTATTTTGCACAACTCCAAAAGTCTTGAAACTCCATGGAATACCTTATAATAAATAATGAAAAATCCTCGCCAAAGATGAAGACCAGGGGGCCCACACCCTTCTCACGAGGGTGGGGGGTGCCCCCCCCCAGGGCATGCCCCCTACCTCGTGGGGCCCCTGGTGGCTCTCCGATGACCATCTTCTCCTATATGAAGTCTTTCGTCGAAAAAAAGAAGAAGCAACCTTTAGGGACGAAACTCCGCCGCCACGAGGCGGAACCTTGGCGGATCCAATCTAGAGCTCCGGTTGAGCTGTTCTGCCGGGGAAACTTCCCTCCCGGAGGGGGAAATCATCGCCATCGTCATCACCAACGCTCCTCTCATCGGGAGAGGGCAATCCCCATCAACATCTTCATCAGCACCATCTCATCTCAAAACCCTAGTTCATCTCTTGTATCCAATTCTTGTCTCCAAGTCCGGGATTGGTGCTAGTAGGTTGCTAGTAGTGTTAATTACTCCTTGTAATTGATGCTAGTTGGTTTAATTGGTGGAAGATCATATGTCCAGATCATTTATGCATATTAATACCCCTCTGACTATGAACATGTTTATGCTTTGTGAGTAGTTACTTTTGTTCCTGAGGACATGGTAGAAGTCTTGCTATTAGTAGTCATGTGAATTTGGTATTCGTTCGATATTTTGATTAGATGTATGTTGTCTAGCCTCTAGTGGTGTTATGTGAACATCGACTACATAACACTTCAGCATTATTTGGGCCTAGAGGAAGGCATTGGGAAGTAATAAGTAGATGATGGGTTGCTAGAGTGACAGAAGCTTAAACCCTACTTTATGTGTTGCTTCGTAAGGGGTTGATTTGGATCCATATGTTTCATGATATGGTTAGGTTTACCTTAATACTTTTGTTGTAGTTGCGGATGCTTGCAATAGAGGTTAATCATAAGTGGGATGCTTGTTCAAGTAAGAACAGCACCCAAGCACCGGTCCACCCACATGTCAAATTATCAAAGTACCGAACGCGAATCATATGAACGTGATGAAAACTAGCTTGATGATATTCCCATGTGTCCTCGGGAGCGCTTTTCCTTATATAAGAGTTTGTCCAGACTTGTCCTTTGCTACAAAAAGGATTGGGCCACCTTGCTGCACTTTATTTACTTTTGTTACTTGTTGCTCGTTACAAATTATCTCATCACAAAACTATCTGTTACCACTTATTTCAGTACTTGCAGAGAATACCTTGCTGAAAACCATTTATCATTTCCTTCTGCTCCTCGTTGGGTTCGACACTCTTACTTATTGAAAGGACTACGATAGATCCCCTATACTTGTGGGTCATCACTTGACACTTGACTTAATTAAAATGAATCAACCGCGTGTGTAGCCGTGATGGTCTCTTTTCGGTGGAGTCCAGGAAGTGAACACGGTCTTGTGTTATGCTTGAACGCAAGTAGTTTCAGGATCACTTCTTGATCACTGATACGTCTCCAATATATCTATATTTTTTTATTGTTCCATGCTATATTATATCTTGTTTTGGACATTATTGGGCATTATTATACACTTTTATATTATTTTTGGGACTAACCTATTAACCGGAGGGCCATCCCAGAATTGCTGTTTTTTTGCCTATTTTAGGGTTTCGCGGAAAAAGAATATCAAACGGAGTCCAAACGGAATGAAACCTTCGGGAACGTGATTTTCGGAACGAACATGATCCAGAGGACTTGGACCCTACGTCAAGCAATCAACCAGGAAGGCACGAGGCAGGGGGCGCGCCTACCCCCCTAGGTGCGCCCTCCATGCTCGTGGGGCCCATGTTGCTCCACCGATGTACTCTTTCCTCCTATATATACCTACGTACCCCAAACTATCAGATATGGAGCCAAAACCCTAATTCCACCGCCGTAACTTTCTGTATCCACGAGATCCCATCTTAGGGCCTTTTCCGGAGCTCCGCCAGAGGGGGCATCGATCATGGAGGGCTTCTACATCAACACCATAGCCTCTCTGATGAAGTGTGAGTAGTTTACTTCAGATCTACGGGTCCATAGTTATTAGCTAGATGGCTTCTTCTCTCTTTTTGGATCTCAATACAATGTTCTCCCCCTCTCTTGTGGAGATCTATTCGATGTAATCTTCTTTTGCGGTGTGTTTGTTGAGACCGATGAATTGTGGGTTTATGATTAAGTTTATCTATGAACAATATTTGAATCTTCTCTGGATTCTTTTATGTATGATTGGTTATCTTTGCAAGTCTCTTCGAATTATCAGTTTGGTTTGGCCTACTAGATTGATCTTTCTTGCAATGGGAGAAGTGCTTAGCTTTGGGTTCAATCTTGTGGTGTCCTTTCCCAGTGACAGAAGGGGTAGCAAGGCACGTGTTGTATTGTTGCCATTGAGGATAACAAGATGGGGTTTATATCATACTAGTTGACCCGTTGCGCCAAATGGCGCAGAGACCTGCTGAAGACATGTTGTCGATGAAAATAGATTCATGCTGCAAGAACCTTCAACTAAAGCCATGTTCGCGATGAAAATAGTTTCCTTTACTAAGGACAGGCCATGTATATACAGTCGGTTTAGTTCTGGTCTGCTAAATCCATATGCGCCTTGAAAAAAACATGGTTTAATTTGCAGAGCCTCACGTGTTTCAAGTATGAATAAGAACTACGAACTCTTTTTGTGCGATTCAAACACATTTCTAGAGAGAGAGAGAGAGAAGCATACCCCTCTCTCATTATGATTATTATTAAAAGCTATTAAATTCGAAATAGACAATTTCATTTACTTGAAGCACTTGAAGAAAAAAAACTTAAGACATACTTTTACGCAATGCTCATTTAACATGTGAAGGACTACGCAATGCTCATTTAACCTGTGAAGGACAAAAATATTCCACCGTCTCTGAATGATGAACTAAACTAAATAAGAAATATATACAGTAAATTCATTCAAAGTAGAAAAAGGATACATGGTGTTATCTTAGTAAAAGAAATTACATCATTAGAAGAAAAAAGGGAAGAAAACCAAACATGAGATTGAGATTAATACATCTAGAAGGGACACAAAGAGGGGAAACAGACACCTCAACAAGATTCTTGAGGAAGTGCCCAAGGAAAGAAAAAAGAACGTTAGGTCTGAACTGTAAGAACATGCTCATAAATATGAATTGTCAAGGGCAAGATGAAATGCGAGAACAAGCACTGATGAGTAATGATATACTGAAAATTTCCGTTCTTTGTTGTTGTTAGCCCTTGTTTTTCGAATATACATCGAGGCACTCAGGTTGTACTCATATCTACAACCCAATCTCGTAGCTCTTTTCTCTTTACAACCTACAGACGGATTGAACAAATGGAGATTGCTATATGGTGGACTACCTACAGATTACTAACTTTACAAAATCCCTCACATCCTCTCAATTTCTGATACTATGGAATTCATTGTCATTTGGCACCTTTTGACCATTATATCCAGAATCGAACGGTTGGGGGTATGCCAGAGGGTTTCAGAATCTCCTGAGAAGCACCAAATGCTTTATTTCACTCCAGTTTTCATCATGACCATCAAATCCTGATCATGCAGTCAACAATGCCATGCCTTTGGTGCCTTTGGTGCACAAAGGCAGAGGATATGCATCCCTCAGTTATGCATGCTAACGCCTAGATCATATTCCATCTTGTTGGCACATGCAATCAGGCATTGGGAAGGTGTATATGGAATCATTAGGTTTCCTGAATGCGATGCCCCTTATGTCACTATGGTGCAGTATTTCCAGCATGTGGTGCTTGAATCGACTCCATCTGCAGTTCAAAGAAACAATTTGAGTTTCATACACCACTATATCCATTTACACGTTAAGGAAAGATGGGAAAATATTTAGAGCATGTATGTGAAGGTCAACTCGGAGATGTATTTCAATTTGTTAACATGGCTAATGCGTTCCGAAAAGTAGGGAATAGCTACAGTCTTGGATGGTGAAGGAACAACAAGGGCAGCGAACTGCTTCTGCAGTTTGATTTGGTGAAAGATTCCAGCATATACTCAAAACTGAAACTGATTCGGTGTGATTTGTAATACTTTGTTGACGATATAATGGCAGCCCAAACTTACCTGATATTTGGGTCATCAAAAGATAAGACCAGCTTCCGTTTGTCGGGTTTTATTGTCTTTGCATTCCCTCCTAACAGGTAACGCCTGTGTCCCATCAAAAAGTGAGGGAAGTTCCCCCTTGAGTCGTCACAAACACTTCGCTCTGAACACAGACGGTGTAATCTAATGCTGCTAACCGAGAAGAGTACCCCTACAGAGAATAGGTTGGTGAGTAACGGTATGAAGATTCAATGTGAATTGATGAACAGTTCAATGCATGCATATTCATCTGACATTCAGAACGACATCCAGCTAGGCTTATGGGCTGGCTGGCGGAAACAATACCTCAAACTCAGCAAGCTCTTTAGACAATGCAAGAGTGTCCTTGGTTTGTAAAAGAGGGAACATCTGGCGAAGGGGACCCATGTATTTTGCAGCATTGTATATTTTACCGGAGGCAACGTAGAGGAAGGTTGTATTGTCAAACCCCATGCCTCGAAGCATCATACCAATCTGCTCAAATTAAGTCAGTTAACATATTAGCTCTAGTGAGTATATTTACATATTTGAAAGCTTCTAAATTTGTTCTGAATGCTACTAAAGAGACGCAACTGATGGCACTGAACTTAAAGGTTATTATTATTGACCTGAAGCATCACAAACTAAGCAACAAACATCAATTCTAGTATAACAGAAAATGTCAGCACCCGTGAAAATTGATGCTTCTAGTGACATCTGTTAGTAGTGAACAGAAAGATATAAGTTGATTAGTATATACCATTTGAATGCTAAGAAACGGAAATTAAATATATAAAACCCAGGTGGCTATAAATGGTCATGGAGGTAAAGCCCGATGAGAAATTATAAACCTGGCTCAAATATAAATGGAAGCCACCACAAACTCAATCTTGTAGCAGGATGCGAAACATGGCCACGAATCGTGTACCAATTATGCTAAAGAAATGTGAAAAAGAAGTGTCTTGTGTGTAAAAGCTTCTGCTTCTTTATTTCTGAAGTTCCTAGAGCTTGGTACACACAGGTTGCCCATACTCTTGATTTTCCGACCGATGTGAAAATTGTCTCATACCAAGGGAAATTACAAAGTAAAGTTTCTAAGCAAGCAGGGGGCGGTAAACTAATGATCTTTCTTTGGAAGACAGAATTGGGTATGTTCTTTGTTTACTCGGAGTTTTTTTGGCACTGCACTGTCGAATTATGATAATAACAGCTTAGTGCCATTCTAAGTTCGGTTCTGAATGATAACATCTTTTGGCCTTAATTTTTAATTCTTTGTAAGAAATACTTGGATATATAGTCCACCAAAAAACACATGAACTCAAGCAAGCATGCAATCTTCTTGATTGTTCCAATGACACTCAACCAATACGTGATGTATTTTTGACTCGTAGCCTGAATGCACAGATTTCGGATCTTGGTGGTCTTTGCTGTGTATAAACAAACGCAAATGAAGACATCTGTCATCACTTTATGAACATCAACAACTAAAGCATAAAAATAAACCATGCATGCATGCAGGATTCATCAACGTCCTCCCCTGCTGGACTGCTAGTGAAATATTTGTCCTCGCCAGGTTATCGGTGATGTATTAAAGAGAACCAATGTACATACCTATAGTTGATCTTGCAGAAACCAGTGCACTATTGAATTCAGCGAATCAGTTATGGTAAAAAGAAAAAGAAACACTGAGTTTGTAACATAGACGCGCATCATCAGGCACCTCCCACATCAATTGATGATTGGCATAGCCAAGGTTAAAGATATGTAGATTATAGGAATTAAGTTAACACAGTTGTCATGTTGGTGGGTACATTATTGTGTCCATCATTTAAAGAATTGTCCGCCTACGTGGGGCACACATAAATTCAAACATGATTTTTTTATCTCTCGTAGGGATAAGGTACAATTTCATATTAGTGTTTACAGCAAGTAAAGATTATGGGTATCTACTTTTCCTATTTCACAAAGATACTGACATCACCACAATGGTGATGAAGTGAACAAACCTTCGCAATGTAAGCAAAAAAAAAAACTTTTGCAAGAAAAGAAACTTTTCTAATCGATTGAAGTGTGACCCTATTTCTACAAAGAAGGTGTAATCTGTAAGCATCACCAAAGGAAACATCAGACGAACAAAACAAACGAAAGGCCACGATAGGAAGTAAAAAAAATTGAATTCAGTGTGCGGAATATATGTTTATACACCCAGCCTAGAATCTGAGAATACAGTTTGCAGCCATAAATGCAATAAACGGAAGGAAAAACATAAGATTTGGTACATCCTTGACAAACTATTCATGTGTGCCATCTTGGCCAAAAACATAGGAAATCATGATCCTAGAAATGACAACTTTTGAAGTCCTAAAGCTCGCTAAGATGATTAATAAGCATAGAGCCAGAGTCAAGGCACAAAGAAATATCTGGAATGTAAAGCATGTCATCGTTTATTTCCACACCAAAGTATACTACTGCCGTAGTACTGCACCGTCTAATTACTAAGTGAAGAAATCATTGAAGCATGAATCACACAAACCAAACAATACTAAGCAAGGGATAATTAAGGTCTAAATGCAGGCACATACCTCTGCTTATAGAAGTGTCTCTTACAGCACTCTATTTCATAACTTGATTACATATTTAAACTTCCAAGCATGCACCTAAGAACCAGACATGGTACCAATGAGCATTGATATATTAGCAAATATATTCCTTAAATTCAGAGGTGATAAAAAAGAACACCCATTCAGTTACCATTTCTAACCTTTACACTTTCACTCCTCTTCCACGAAAAGGAGGCTAACTGAATAATATCTGTACTCACTGTGATAAGAATGATATTAGTTAAACACAAAGTAATGTCAGGTTACTGGATTAGTTGAAGGAACACTTTAGACAGCAAAAAAGAATAGTAGACCAAGCACCGTTACTTCTGTTGTCACACAAAATTTCCGACAGATAAGCATCTAAGCATATAGAGAAAGGAACTCGACGAACTCATCAGAAAATGCAAAGACAAATTATTAATAGTGGCCACGGCCGCATTCCAAAGCTCCAGCCGCCAGCGGCACGACGACAAATGTTTCTCACCCGTCCGCCTCGCACGCTGCGGTCAGCCGCGAGCTCGCCTTCTCTCCTGTGCTCTCCCCTCCCCCGGTCCCCTTCTTCCCTCCCGTCGCTCTCCTAGTTTTCGATCTGGAGCGGGAGGGACCGACGGAGCCATCCAGCGGCGGCGGCTGCGGCTGTGGCGGCGGCGCCGGCATGGGCCTAACGCGACCACGCAGCAGTCAGACAGGGGAGGAAGAGAGGTTGCGAGGTGGATCTGGTGGCGGTGATGCCGGGGCTTGAGGCGGAGAGGCGCTAGTCGCTGGGCCTCGCCGCCGGCCTCCTTTTTATCTCCCTTCTTTCTCTCCCTCGTTGTCCTCGTCTACCACTCTTCGTCGCCCTTTGCCTGCAGGTCGGCGCCGTGGTGGGGATCCGGGAAGGAGGAGGGGGCGGAAGGGAGGAATGGTGCGGCGGCTATGAGAAGGAGCGGGTGGCTGTGGATGCGGTTACTGCGGGGATCGAGGGAAACGGGGGCTAGGGTTTGGGCGGCGACTGGCACGGGACTGAGAGGAGGGAGGAGAAGGTAGGAGGAGGGAGGGGGTCGACGACACGGCGGAGGAGAGGAGGCGGCCGAGGCGAGCGAGGAGAAGAGGGGCGGCGACATGGGAGAGGATGGAGGGAGTGGGGAGGAGGGGACGAGCAGGGCTGGCGGCTAAGGTTTTGACGCGCGGGCGGAGTGGATTGGCAAATTCCCTTGGGGACACGAACAAAGTTTATCCAGCCAAGGAGCGTGCGAGACGAGCCCACCAGTCATTGGCCAACGAAAACAACCGTGAGGTGAAAATCGAGTTTGACTGTTCTGAAGATCTAACGGCTTAGATGTGTTTCAGAGCCAGATCTGACGGCCCACGAAGGCCCAATCGGGGGAGCCTTCTGGAGGTGAGTTGGCTAGCTTCATTATAGTTTTAAATTGCATGAATTTATTCCTCTACATCATGTCATCTTGCTTAAAGCGTTACTCTGTTCTCTTGAACTTAATACTCTAGATGCATGCTGGATAACGGTCGATGTGTGAAGTAATCTCTACTCCTAATGGAGCAGTTGGTAGTCTCGCTTCCAGGTTTTTTTTCGTCCCACCACTTTCGTCCGGTTTTTTTCCGTAGGTTAACCGTCGTAGATTTTTTTCAATGATGGTTTCTTATTCACCGGTTTATTTACCCCTCAGCTCTTTTCTTGCAAATCAGGACTTTCCAAACGTGCACGCAATCACGGATCTAAATTTACTAACTTATCCAAATCAATCGATACCTTCCATTATTGCAAATTTCTTTAGGAAACAAATAATAGATTTTAAGGAAACAAATAAAAGATTTTAAAGACACATCATACTTTACTAATAATCACTAAAAATCAAATCTAAATTAATTAACCTTACCTTAAATCACTGAATCACTTTAATTAGAAAACATTTTCTTTCCTAACTGCACCTCGCTTAGTGTGCACATAACAATCCGAAGTAATTAGAGTCACATGATTGAATTCATTTATTTAGAGCAACATGATTGCGTTCTGGGATGGAGGCCATGATTTCGTCGAGGTCGTTGCTGCCTCCTACACTCAGGGTGTGTCGCCGAGATCGAGGCGAGCATGAGGAGCTGTGGCCACCGCCATGGTCACCTCATCGCAGGGGATGGAGCACGCCATCGGCCTACAGCTTGTGGAGATCAACACTTTCCAAACGTGCACGCAATCACGGATTTAAATTTACTAACTCATCCAAATCAACCGATATCTTCCATTATTGCAAATTTCTTTAGGAAACAAATAATATATTTTAAGGAAACAAATAAAAGATTTTAAAGGCGCATCGTACTTTACTAACAATCACTAAAAATCAAATCTAAATTAATTAACCTTACCTTAAATCACTCAATCACTTTAATTAGAGAACATTTTCTTTCCTAACTGCACCCCGCTTAGTGTGCACATAACAATCCGAAGTAATTAGAGTCACATGATTGAATCCATTTATTTAGAGCGACATGATTGCGTTCCGGGATGGAGGCCATGATTTCGTCGAGGTCGTTGCTGCCTCCTACACTCAGGGTGTGTCGCCAAGATCGAGGCGAGCATGAGGAGCTGTGGCCACCGCCATGGTCACCCCATCGCAGGGGATGGAGCACGCCGTCGGCCTACAGCTTGTGGAGATCACTGTTGCTCTTCAGGTCGCGTGGTGACCGGATCTTGCCGATGTGTCCCTCCCCGACGACCTCCTCTTCGCCCGGTTGGCCGGCATGGATCTCGCCACTACTGCCCTCAACTTCTCTGCCTCGAGCTCGACGGTCAGCCACCATGGATCCCCCAGCTGGAGGGTCACGTGAACCAGCCGTCCTCCCATGCTGCAGCGGCGAGAAGGTGACATGGCTCTCCGTACACGAAGAGTAGAG